CCTCGGATCGATTTTATTCCCCGACAAGACATGTGAACGGGTGAAGTTGTGGTATATGCACGTGCTCGAGGATTCAGTGCTTGATGATGTCGGCACGTATTCGTGGGGTTCGGCCTGTTTGACCAATCTATACAGGGAGTTGGGTATATGCAGCCGAGCACAGTCGAGGAGCTTGGCGGGTTGCACCACCCTTCTTCAGGTAAATTTTAATATATTTTGTACTTGCGGACAATATATATATATATATATATATATATATATATATATATATATATATATATATATATATATATATATATATATATATATATATTGTACTTATTTTGTTCATTTAATATATTTTAATAAATTTTAATATATTTTGTAAATTTTAATATATTTTTATAAATTTTAATATCTTTAACTAAAATATTGCAGTGCTGGATATACGAGTATTTCCCGAGATTCCAGCCGCCGGAGGAGAGCGAGCGGTACCGCGAGTTTCAGCCTCGATGCAAGAGGTGGAATGCGCTGCCAAAAGCGGGCACGCTCGAGCATATTCGAAGTTTACTCGACAATATGACAACGGATGATGTAAGTTGTTTATATTTATGTATTTATATATTTTTTTTAAATATGATTTTTTTTATTTATGTGTTTATATTTTTTTTAAATATGAATTTTTCGGTTTATGTTTAAAGTTTGTTTAAATATGAATTTTTTGATTTATGTATTTATATTGTTTTCTGTTTAGGTCGAGTGGCTACCGTATGGTCGGAATATACACGAGAGTATCCCTCGTACGTTGTATCATGGCACGATCTAGTACATGTGGGCCGTAGAGCTGTATATGCCTGATCGTTGCGTCCGATAGTTCGAGTGGGTCCAGGATATTCCGCGCGGCTTGATTCCATTGATGGAGCCATGTTCACGCGGTCCCAAAGGAGGTACATCGTACAAAGTCAACTATCCATTTCCGGGTGGTATGTGGGACATGATCCAGGCTCATTCCATTCGTGCCAACGTATACAAGACAGCACGACAACAGGAGGAAGTCGACGAGCACTACATGGAGTGGTACACCGATCAGACTCATCTGAAGATCAACAACCCGGACGTAGGCCCGGCTCCACTGCATCGAGAGAATGTGAGGCCACTAGATCAGCCGGCTTATAAACAGATAGTACGTTCATTGTACCCGATCACCAGGAGCACTGGACAGGACTGGATGCAGCAGTTTGCCGATCTACATGCCTACCTTGGAGATATTATGCAGCCCGCCGCCCGATATATTGGCATCGACCAGGAAAACGACAACGACGACGACGACGACAACGACGACGTTCATGAGGTGCAGCCATCGAGGAGAGCGAGACGGTAGTTTATCGGGTTTTTTTGCCAGTTATGTATTTTTATGAACTATTTAATTTTAAAGTTTATTTTTATTATTATTAGGACTATGAATTTTTATTATTCTTAGGAACTATTTAAATTAATAATTTGTTTTTATTATTATTAGGAATTAATTATTTTACTAATTTTGTTTATTATTATTACGAACTATTTAATTTACTAGTTTGTTGTTTTGTTTTGTATTTTAATTCACTAGTTTTATTATTTGAATTTAGAACTACGTACAACTGAAGCAATTAAAATACACATTTAAACAACCTTACAAACAACCTTACAAATTTAATCATTCACAAAACATAGGTTAAACATAAAAAATGCAGAACACAACGCTACAAATTTAAATATTCCAAAATATAAATTAAACATTAAAATGCAAAATTAAAACAAATACAAATTTAAACATAAGTTAAACTTTCAAATACCCGGCAGATGGTTATGATTACCATTACTCACACTCAATCGCCATAATCCATCCTCCGTTGATTTTTTGCCAATTAACCTGAACGGACAAGAACGTTTCTTCAATAGTACGTGTCATCCAGATTGATATCTTGCACACGTTAAAACATGATATTTTTCTGATTAACAATGATTAATCAGTCGATGATTATGACTAATTGATGTGTCTTTTGCCCACATAATTAATGTTTCTCTACTATCACACACAATATCACGTTCAAATAAGTGACTATGATCGTGAGATTGTTCTCTTAGTTCCTGCATAAATATTTGAAATTAAAAGACAATATTTAAGGGATTTCGTAGAAAAACATACGAAATGTAAGCTACCATTTCGTGTAAAAACATACGAAATAAGAGCTTCCATTTCGTACGTTCTACTACGAAATGTAAGCTTTAATTTCGTATGCTTTTATACGAAACAAACAACAAACGATTTTAAGACATATTTCGTATAGTATTACACGAAATGGAAGCATATATTTCGTGTGTTGTAACACGAAATGTCTAAAAACGTTGGAAATGAACAAAAAACGTGTATTTTCACCTCAAAATCGAAGTCGTTGTCATCCATGTCGATAATACTTGTGCTCTAACTGATATTGGTCGAAAAATTACTGAATTTGAAAATTTTCAAGAATTAAAGGTTGGGGTGTTTGAGAGGGGGTTTGGATAAGATTTGGAAAAGAAGAAAAAAATGAATTATTTTGCACTGCAACTGGTAAAAACCGCACTGATAATAGCAAGCCCCATTTTATATTGCTTCCCCGTGGCCCCAAATATCTCATTCCTTTTTCTTTATTCTTACATCTACAGTAATTCTTTGTTTTTTCCCAAATTAAATACTTTCTATATTAAAAACTCACAAAGAACACAAATTATTTTCATTAATTAACCTACGTAGTTACGTCTTTCATGGGCACCTGTCACCGTACATTGGTTTGTCTACATTGGTTCGTCCGGCGTTGACTTTTTTTAGTGTTTTTTTAAGTTTTTTTTTTTTTGTTTGGTTTTTTTTTTTTTTACGTCTGCCACTAAACGTTGACCGTAATTGTGCTGTCACTGACAGTAAATTAACGTAGTTATACTGTCAATGACAGTTAATTAACGTAATTGTAGTGCCGTTGACAATACATTTATGTATTTGTGCTGCCGCTGACAGTAAATTAATGTAATATTATAATTTTTTTTTTTTGTTTTTTTTTTTGTTTTATTTGTTGACAAATCAACGTAATTATATTACTGTCGTTGACAGTAAAATAACTGTAAACACAATAATATTATTGTCAACAACATCAATATTATTATTTTTTTTTGGATTTTTTGTTTTGTTTGAGTTATTCACAGAGTAACGTAATAATATTACTGTCTATTACTGTAATATTACTGTAAACACAATAATATTACTGTGGTTGACGGTAATATTACTGTTGTTATAGTAATATTGCTGTCAACCACATCAATATTATTATTTTGTTGGATTTTTTGTTTGTTTGAGTTATTCACGGAGTAACGTAATAATATTACTGTCTATTATTGTAATATTACTATGGTTGACGGTAATATTACTGTTGTTATAGTAATATTACTGTCATTCACAATAATATTAATTCTTTTGGTTTTTTATTATGTTTACATTTGTTGAACGATCAACATAGTAATATTACTCTATTACACAATAATAATGAGTTTTGTTGTGTTAATATTAATGTGCTATAGATTAATATAGCAATATTACTGTGTTAAACTGTAGTTTAGTTAATTTTACTGTGTTTAACAGTAAGATATTTAATATTACTGTCAATCACAGCAATATTGTTGTTTAAATGAAAAAAAAAAGTTACAGAAAGAAAGAAAAGAAGAAAAAAAAAATCGAAAAATTCAACGCCGGAAACCGGCGAAAAAATCCGGAAGAAATTTTTTTTTTGAAAAGTCAACGCCGGAATCCGGCGGGAAAAAAAAAGTTTTTGAAAAAAAAAAAGTTTTGGGTCAAAATTGAATAATTTGCGAAATTTGAGATCAAATTAAGGTTAAATAAAGTTAAGGATAAAATTGGAGCATATTAAAGTATGAGGGGTTATTTTAGTCCTTTAGAAAAATCTGGACCATGTGTGGACTTATTGGTAAAGGATTTTTTTGTCTGGATCTCTTTATGAATAAGTACCCATTGATGGGCTTATTTGTAAAGACCCCTTACAATTATGATAAAATTTATTAGTGATATCAAAAACAACATCAACATTTATACGGATTTAATAATACAAACTCATTAAAAAAAACTATAAAAACTTAATTATCAATCATTAAATAAATAAATGAAGTATATTTTTTCTTAGAAAAAATAGGCTGGAAAATAATAATAATAATTAAAAAATTATGAATGTAGTGGTTTATGATTGTGCTAGCCGAGATTTGGTGTTAATATAATTAGAAAAAAATAGCTGCAAAGATAAAAAAAAATCAAATAATTAATTTATTTTTACAAATATGTCATTAGAGTTTTTTAGGTTACCCTGGTGTTTCTTTCTTTTATATATAAGATATATAAGATATATCTATTAAACCCACTCAATATTTATTAATTAGTTCATTCAAAATTCAAATTAATGCAAAAGAAAGCTCAATTATTAATAATTAGTCCACCCAAAATTCTAAATTATGCAAAGAAACCCTTTTTTCTTCCTTTTTTTTCCGCTATTTTTTGATTTTGTCACAAAAAAATCCTAATTTTTTTTCGAGAGTGCTGCCCACGTACCCCCAAAAATTGAAGGCCATCCTGTATCACATTCCTGGACTTGCCTATGATCACATTTTCCATAAACTAAAGAGAGAAGAGAAACTAATTTATGAGTTTCTGGAGCGGATCGAAAACATGGTGGACACATTACACATATGCAGAGTGCCTCAAGTCCCAATCGCATATCGCCGGAAAGACCAACAGCTGCCAGAAGTTCGTGGAGAACTGGGTTTCATAGTTTGCATCTCTACTCCCGGGCAGTCGAAACTGCTTGTGCTACTCTCTGAATTAATTAATTAATTAATGTGTGTTGTTTGTGTGTGTATTTTGTGTTATACTATAAAACATTGTTATCGCAAAATTATTGTAATTTCGGATAAGTATCAGCTGCCAAATATAAATCTCAGCATCAGAAACGATAACTCAAATAAGTTCCTTCGATAATTGAACAGCGTTCCTCAAATAACAGGCAAAAGAAATATAGCACCAGAAATACTCGGATTTTAAGCATCTTACCGAAACATGATTTCAATTGCAACTAACTGCAGCATTAGGAAACAAAGAAAAAGCGAAAAAATTATTACTCAGACAGACGTGCTTCTTTGTGTAGCCGAATCATCCTTAGTTTTTAATGGCCATCCCCTTCAGAGTCATCATCATCGTCTTCATCATCATCATCCTCTTCAATGTTATCATCATCGAATAAATTACGCCTGAAACCCCTTAGCTCGCGCAGAGAATCATCATCCCCAAAAAGATCAGTTCCAAATTTTGTCGAGCGGTGTTTAACCAAAAGCCAACGAAGCAAACGGTCTTCCTTGTTCAAGTAAGACAGCTCACTCTTAAAGCTGGGTGGTGTCATCATTGTCATCTGCATAAGTTGGGCCTATAAAATATAATAGTTGATTGTTAGCACGCTGCGCATATAATAAATACTCATTCATCTCATTCTCACTAGAAGAGTTTCAATGCAGAATAACTAATATTTATGTCCGCTATGAAATTTACCGATGCCTTGGAAAATTTAGTTGTGTCCCATATGACAAAAAAGCTCACAACTATCATCAAATTTAAAGAAATAACTACAAGCGCAACAATCAATAGCACCCAAAAAGACGTGTGTTTAACAACTATGATACCCGGGCCTGAATAGAAACCCGCCGCATATGGTAGAAAACTATGAAAACTTTTAATCAGTTAAGTCATTTCTTCAGCATCACAATTCACAACCAACAATGGTAATTTTACCACCTACGGGATATAGAGGAAAAACTTAACCCAGAAATAGAATTGCACAGTGTTGCCATTATTCGGGGGGTCTATCAGATAAAAGTAACTTCCAACATCTGGACGACTCCTCTCCTAAAAGATCCTCTTAACGATAAATGGCCTTCAGTTGCTTAGCATGCAAAGGTGCGGCTTTCGGAAAATTTTCACTTCCTGAAAGCCTAGAATTTTTTTTCAAGAATTAGAAGCTGGCTTTGTTCGTAAGTCTGTCTTGATATGAATATTATAATCTTTTCCCAGTAAATTATTTCCTCCTCGTCCTTTGGACCCTTTCAATATCACAAATTTGAGGAAAGGTTTTCCGAGGATTTCTCTAGGAGCACGGCATTCACAGATAATCTAGTGAGATCCGTCAAGAAGATGATGGTCCTTAATTAGTATTGGCATAGGCCAGTGCGTGTGACCAAGGTAGTCAAAATCGGGATTTTAAGTGAAATCGGAGAGGGGTAGTAAAATCGGAAACGTAAAATCGGATCGTAAAATCGTAAGATTTTACATGTATTGTAAAATAAATATATTTAGTACTTACTACTTAGAAAACATCCGTAACACAAATAAAATAAGTCATAATATGCATAAAATATGTCCTGACAAATATAAAACATCCCAACATTAATTAAACATAGTCTAACATAAATTGTGTTAGGAGATAAAAACTGACACTCACAACCGCTGGATGTTTTTCTAGCAGAAGAGAAGTATTTTCTTCTCGTCGTGATAGATTGTAATTTTAGGGCAGGGCTGAGCTTTATATATTCTGGATTATTTGGTAATTGGCTAAAAAGTTTTAGTTAAAAAACTGTATTTATGAGGCCAAAATCCAAAATTTCAGCCCAATTCTTGACAAAAACCAAAATCGCACTAAAATCGCGTTTTTAACGATTTTAACGATTTTGAACGCGATTTCACACGATTTTAAGGCACCTAAGATGTTAGTGCGATCTTACTCCTTTTCAGTGTCTAAAATCTTAAAGTCTTACGATTTTACGATTTAGATCTCGATTTTAACTACATTGCGTGTGACAATGCTATGGCTAATCAAGAAAATGTAGCTAACTCAAGGCAAAAGCCTAGCATTTTTGCTGCTATTCATTGATATAACCTCCTTGCAGAAGATCTTGTGACACAAAAATAGCAAAAGATTATCATCCATACGAAGGATCCGTCTTTTTTTTTTTCTTTCTCGGGCCCCTTAAAGAACAAACATTGTAAAATGAAGGATGAGTTCATACCAACCTTTCTAGCATTGACAGCTTGGAAGGAGGGTAGAGGGTGGATCGGAGGAGGAAAGGGATTTGGTTTTTATTTTAGTGAGATACTTAGTTCTCTTTTTGTTTTTAAGGATATTTGTAAGGATAAACACCTATGTTACTCTTTAGTAGAATTGATAGATCGAGGTAGGAAAGTGTGAATGGAAGAAAGATAACGAGAATACTCTCCCTCAATAAGTTTCATATCCCCCTAGAGTGAAGGAGTTGGGGAAGAGATTGACTATAACACACCAAATCATGCCATCTCCTTATTCATATTTCATAAAAAAATCCTTTCCATTATCAAGTTACATGCGCCACTCGGCCCACTCCCCCTCTTGAGATCAAATATACCTCAGATTTTCATAAAACTTGAAAGAAAGAAAGGGAATTTGCAGCATCTATAAATTGCACATAGAACCTTTAGGGATTGGCAATCTTGGTAACCTTTACAAGGCATTATGTAATAGGTAAGACAACAGTGACGGATTTTAAATCTTAATATTACCGATAAAGTATAGAGATAGAAAAACAAATGTAAGATAATACATGATGCATAACTAGTGTCTTCACAATTCTTAGCAAATTATTCAAGGTACAAAATGTTAAAGTAGGGAGCAATCAAGAGTTGCTGCCCAGAAAATAATTTGTCACAGATCTAGAAAATTTAAGACTAGACAGAGACTCGAGCTAATAGCTTAGCTAAAAAGAACGACGACAAAAATGGGCACATAAAAAAGATATTATCGTTGAACGAAAACTGTTTGAAAAGGGATTCTGATGTCACGAAGTTTGGTCAGCTTCATTCAAAAGGTTGCAGGAAAAGGGAACACACTCAACCCATAAAAGGGCTTTCAGCTAAACTTGCAGATTGGAACAACCCCTTGAAATTACATGTTTGCCACTTTTCCACAATTCTAACATCTATTTTCCGTGATCCTTGAGAAAGGTTAGCTTACACAAAATCACTACAAATATTCAAATGAATACTGATATGTTGCTCTGGATAGGCTAGACGAACAAGACAGTAGGAATTGGACACAACATGACATCTAAGGAGAATTCTATTCTTTGTAAGATTACCTCACTGAAATTCTTGAGCAACTAAAGATATCTAGAAATTATTGTAAAAAACAGATATCTAGAAATTATTGTAAAAAACTATGTAACAAACTTTTAAACACATAAGCAGATCTCTCAATGTTTTTTGGCCGACAAAAGATGGGACTATATAAAAGCAGCCAACTTGAACAATTTAAAACATGACGCCATTTATGCTCAAGCTAAATAAAAGCCGAGGTATGGAGAATCTGACGAATCGTTAGTACCAAGTGCAGCATAATGCAGATATGACAATGGAAATTAAATTACCTGATAGTATCGTCCATCTAGTTTCTTTATTCCATAACCAAGTTGAACTTTTCCAAAGGACTTCATATCAGTCAGCACTCCATTCCTTTGGTACACGTGTTTTCCGACCCGTGCAACCAAATCCATAACGACTTCCTTTGTTATATTGGGTTTCAACAAAAGCATGCAGTCATAGAGAGGCATATTTCCCCTTCTCCAACTGGCTCAGCTACCTAATCTGTATAAATAGTCATTTATACGACAAAATGAGTTTTCTTTCCTCTTCTCGCGCGGCTAAGAGTTGAAAGAATTTAAAAGGTGCATAATTCTCGATGAAATACTATATATTTTATCATCTTCGCATATGGCTTATAGGTTTTCATGTATTATATACCAATGATTTTTTAATGTTACATATGCAAATCAACCAGCAAATGAAATTGAATTTAAACATACTGATGACTAACATTCTTGATGACTATGTCGATCCAAAATCGGCAAGGTCGACCCTAACCGAAAATTATCAATTTCAAATTACACTCTTCATAGCCTCTACAAACAAATAATTTTGGAAAAATGGAATATACCATCACAAAATCAAATAAGCATAAATGATTAATATTCATAATTGAGTATGCCAGTGGCAACCATATTCAAAAACTTCATAATTTTTAATCTGACAAAAATAGCACCCACAGGGCAAGAAATTGACCGTTGATTTGCTCTTGGAAAAAATACAAAATCAAATTTACATTGCATTTTGCCAGAATTCACCAGGTGGCAGGCAACATTCAGTGTAACAAACATGGCTCACCGGAACGCCGCTATAGCGGCCGGAATGGCAATAAATGCGGCTCGCGCGTACAGCGGCGGCGATTATCGGACGGAATGGGGGTCGAACGGCTTCTGGTGGTGTTCTTCGTGGCGGCGGAAATGGAATTTAGGGCTGGTGACGCCGACAATTTTCTATTAGTTCTATTAGTTCAGATTTCCTTAAAGTTTTCAAATGTTTCAACTTAGTCCCTAAATTTTATGATTTCTATTAAAAGAAAGCGATATATTCAGAACTTACCCTTTAACCACTAAATTTGAATTTTCTGCATCTTTTTACCTTTTGTAAATTTATTAAAGGTTTTAAGGGGATTGTTGTAATATTTATATAATATTATTTTGTAAATTATTATATTACAATTTCAATATTAGTAATTTTAGGACTGGGTAGGGTCGATTTTATCGGTCAACCAATCCACTTTTTTTAGTCGATAATTTTTTTGTCGGGCAGGTATCCATATATAAATAGGTTGGTTGGTGGTTCTCACTTTAGTCGGTTGGTCGAGCAATATCGGTCAACCGAATTTTTAATAATAAAACTTATTATAAATATTTAATTGTAATTTTTATTTTATTAATGTAAAAAAATATATAAAATAAGTCAAAACTCAAAAACTGTAATTTGAAACAATTGCAAATTAAAAACAAAGCTTTTCATATTATAATCGTAAAACCCCAAAAAAAACTAAATATCCCTAAACTCAAACACTAAAGTCAATAAAAAAACCTAATTTGAAGGAACAAAATCGTCAACAGTCCACAAAAAATACACCTCACTTTTCTTAAAATCGCATCCTTAACCTCCTAAGTTAAGAGTGGTGTTATTTCCACCTCCAGAGTACCTCAATTCAACACCAAAGATTATAAGATGTCATAAATACCCTTCAAATGTATAACCCACCACATTTCCTTATATTCACTTAAACCTCTAAGTTAATTCTATTTTTATTTTATTTTTTAACTTTTTAATTTTTTAAATTATTTTTTTAGTTTTGCAATGAAATATTTATTACAAGATATTTAAACTTCCATGTCAGATGACCTACATATTACGTAATTTTTTTGTAGGAAACGAAATTGTATTAAGCCAAACTGGTCAGTTATGGAGGAAGTTCAAGACCTTCCATACAAGCACTCTTAATTTATTTCTAAAAAAACGTGAAATTCTGCTTTTTTTGACCTTCGGAAATGTGTTTCTCTGACGAAAGTATCATTCAGTTAAGGTGGAGAGGGTGAGATTTCCAGCGAAAATGGTGGGGTTTTTTTTATAAAATAATTTTAATTAATTTAGTGATAGACAGGTTTATAAATTTGTAAAAAATATAGGTGAAAAAAAAGGGTAAAATAGGAAATATATTTAATTTGGTGGTGAAATAAGATATTCTGAGTGTATAAATAGCACTTCTCCTAAGTTAATTGGATTAATGAACCCCCAAAATTTTCAGTGTACCCAGAGATTCATCCTGTCATCGAAGGAAAAAAAACCATAAGATCAGAATCCGTACCCTCAATCCAGACGTTCACCCTTCTAATGTGATCATACAAGAGTTCTTCAACAGATTTCTCCAAAACTTAGAATAATAGAGATTTTACAAGTCTTGTTTCTTTGAAAAATCGAAGAAATCCAAGAAAGAGTTCGTTGTTTCGAAAGTGAAACAATTTAGAAAAAAATTAGCTAGGGATACCTAAAGGGGATTAAAAAATTATATACATCATAAATGAATAAATGATGCATTTCACATGGTACAAATGCATAAATGAATAAATGAATTTTACCCACTAAATTATTATTTAAAATAAAATTAAGTAGTATCCTAAATGCTAATTGGTTTATGGTTTTTTAGTTCTTTATTTATTTTGGACGATTTTAGTTCTTTATTTAATCTTCTATGATTTGCAATGGAGACAATAATAATGAATTGTACGCGAAATCCAATAATACACATGGAGACATTTCATCAAACACAACATCTGCACTCATCATCTCACAATCCTTTTCCAGAACCAGTGCTTCTTCCACAAGAAGATCATCTCTTCAATGGGTACTCCTTTGGTCTCAGGCAAGAACAGGCACACGAAGACGGTCATAATCGTAATCCACCCCGCGAAAAAGAGAAATATCCCAAACTTGAAAGCACAAAGAAGTGAGAGAAACGACTGCCCAATTACGAATGTGAAGAATAAGTTCACCGCCACCGTTATACTCTGCCCCGCCGATCGCGTCTCCAACGGGAATATCTCACTCGGCACCGTCCACCCCAGTGGGCCCCACGACCACCCGAATGCGACGACGAATAGGCAGATGACCACCACCACCAGCACCGAGAATGTCTTCGATAGTTCGCCGTCGCTGCTGAATTTCACCCCCAGTATTATTGACACTATCACCTGTTTTCATTGTGAGATTGATTATCAAATGGGAAAAATACAGTTTTCATCCCTTAAGTTTGCACTGATTTCATATTTGGTCGCTTATGTTCACAAAACAACACATTTAGTTCCCCATGCTTCAATAGTTCATCAACACCTTTGGTCCTTTCCGTCAGTTTACCATGAGTCCGTCAGTTAAGAAAGTGAAGGGCTCAAGCTTGATTACGTTATTACTGACGGAAAATTGACGAAAATGGCTAAAAATGTTGGATTTTTGAATGAGGGACCAAATGTATTTTTTATAAACATGGGGGACCAAATGTGAAATCGGTGCAAACTTGAGGGATGAAAATTGACAAAAATGGCTAAAAATGTTGGATTTTGAAACATGAGGGACCAAATGTATTTTTTACAAACATGGGGGACCAAATGTGAAATTAGTGCAAACTTGAGGGATGAAAATTGAATTTTCCCCATTCTCAAATCATTGGGTTTGGGCTCAAGTATGTAAATATTAAGCTTTATTTGTGTGTATTTGTGTGTGCAGAATGCAGATACTACATTTTGTGAATTTCTGGGTGTAATTATTTTAATTTATTTTACTCACCTGACAGATAACCATTTGAATCCCTCCAGTGATCAACAAAGCCCGTCGGCCCAATTTATCGACCAACGCAATCGAAATGAATGTCGACGAAGCAAGAACAGCTCCGGTCAAAGCCGACGAGTACAGCGACGCATTCCTTCCGAATCCCAAGCTCTTGAACAGCACCGGAGCGTAGAAAAGAATCGAGTTAATACCCGTCAGTATCTGAAAAGTCGGCATGAAGATCGCCATTATAAGCTGCGGCCTGTTCCTCAGTTCGAGTATGTTTCTAAAAGGATGCTTGATCGAGTTCGCAAGCTCGCTCGCGTCGATTATGTCTTGCAACTCCGCGTGAATGTCGGTTGTGCCCCTGATTTTCTCGAGAACTCTCTTGCCCTTTTCTTGGAACCCTCGTTCGATTAGGCTGTTTGGGGTTTCGGGTAAGAGAATGCCTCCTATTGTCATGAGAATAGCTGGCGCAGCTGCGAGCCCGAGAGAGAGCCTCCACCCCCACGGCTGGAGCTTTTGCGTGCCGTAGTTAATCATGTTTGCGGTGAATATTCCGAGCGTTGTTGCTAATTGGAACATCATGTTTAATGCTCCTCTGAGATGAGTTGGCGCCATTTCTGATAGGTATAGCGGTACTGCCTTCAGATAATAATAGAGAGTTAGCTGGTAAGCTAATGTGAAAAACACATGGAGTTGTACATTTTGAGTAGGTATTATAGAGATCAAGTTGAAACTTCAAATACTATTATGTTCAAGACTTGGTTTTTTTTTTCGTCATTTGGGATGGTGAGTATCTCTCGGAATGTGCAATGTGAATCAAACCAATGTTTTGAACTGAGATGTTGGTGCAAGTTCTTCGCTTCTGAATCAGATAGATTCATATGTTTACAATACGGAAAAGTACACTTTTCGTTCCTCAAGTTTACCTCGATTTCATATTTGGTCCCCTTCTTCTGAAAAGAATTGATTTGGTCCCCATGTTTCAACAATTTGGTCTTTTTTGTCAATTTTCCGTTAACACGGAATCAAACACGTGCCCGTCACTTTCGTAACTGACGTACTAATGGTAAATTGACGGAAATGGCCAAAAGTGTTAAATTGTTAGAACACGAGGGACTAGATCTGTTTCTTGTGAACTAGGCGGACCAAATGTGAAATCGAGGTAAACTCGAGGAACAAAAAATGTATTTTCCCCGTTTACAATACGTTCTTTCAAAATTAGCTATTTCTCCCCTTTGGTAGAGGTGTTACTGAAATTGTCTTCGATCGAATAAATAGTTCTATCTACCAATGGAAAGACTTATACAAGTGATACATTTCGTCACCACGTTGCCGAAAATCCTCAAGTATGAATACTTGTGACTCGATTTGTGAAATAGTATCTCCACCCCCACCCCTAAAAAAGGTCGTCTTTTTTTTTTCGAAAACCAAAATTGTTGCGAATGAACAAGTGATTGAGGAATTGTATATAGTAAATAGTTGTACATGTGTAGATTTGTATACAAGTTTACCTGGTTGCCAAATCCGATGCCAACACCGAGCATAATACGGCCAAGAATGAGCATCGGGAGATTCATAGCGGAAGCATCAAGAGTTGCTCCAATCATGAAACTAATGCCACCGCATATTATACTCGCTCGACGGCCGTACTTACGTGTTATTGGAGACGCAACAATCGATGCCACCAAACCAGCTAGGTAAAGAGATGATGTGAACGCCGCCAGGCTTTGGTTGTTGTATTTGCAGTAGTTGTTCTCATGTGCATGCTTTTGGTTTCTATATACTTCGGGGAAGAATTTCTCAAGAAATGCATCCATTGATGTAACCCCTCCTATTAATTTAAAAATAAATAAATTATATATTATATTGAGTAATTCGATTTTTATTTTTTATTGATCAACTTGCAATGATGTGCCAAAAGTCACAAATAAGCTGTCCTAAATCATTAGGGAAACACAATTCCGGTGTCGAAAAGTTCTTAAAAAACCGTAAGATTGAATTGTTTCATTATGATAATAACCAAACTGCAAACAAATTTAAACGGGAAAATTACAGTTTTCATCCTTCAAGTTTGCACTGATTTCACATTTGGTCCTCCATGTTCACAAAAAAAACACATTTGGTCCCTCATGTTCTAGTAATTTAACATTTTTAGTCATTTTCATCAATTTATCATTACTCCGTTATTTAAGGAAGTGATTGGCACACTTCCGTTAGTCTTAACAGGAAATTAACGAAAATGACTAAAAGTGTTGAAGTTTTGAAACATAAGGGATCAAATATGTTTTTTTGTGAATACGGGGACCAAATGTGTAATTTGTGCAAACTTGAAGGACCAAAACTATATTTTTCCCAAATTTAAACTCTCTTCTAATGTTTCTCTTTCTTCCCCCAAAAAAAAAAAAGAAAATAGAACAGAAAAAGAAAAACCTGAAATTCCAATATCATAGCCAAAGAGTGATCCACCAATAGCAGCAACAAGGCATGAAATTACAACATATGCAGTCACTCTTCCTTTATACTCATCTGCCCTCTCCTTCGACACCCCGGTGGGCCCCCCCATCGACCCTCCCGCCATTGCAGACAACTCAACAAACAACTTCTTTTCTTTCTTTCTTTCCGATCAGATTAACGTTGTTGGCAGAGAAAACTTATGAATTTTTGTTTCTTTGTTTGTTTGTCTGTCTGTTCGTTTATACTTAATAGTACCAGCTACTCAACTCCCACAACTACAAGTCAATGTCTTAATTAATAAAAAAAAAATATTATATTTCTGAAATTAATACTTATCTGGAACCAATGATGTAGCACATGCTCTCCCTAAAGGTTTGGCCACTTGAGCTTTTTTATTTTTTTTGTTTTTGTAATAACAACTTTTGTTGGAATATGGTCCATTTTATTGTTATTATTATTGTAATTTACTACAAATAATTAATTGAAATAACCATGTAATTTTGACTGGATTATATCCGATTTGAATTTCGTCAATTCTTTAATTATATCCATAGAATTTTAATTAAATATGTCCATATTGAATATAAAGGATCGGGGTTTTTGCAAGAATCACCCATTTGTAATTTCTAATTGATAAAAAAGCCCTCGTGTTAAATATATTAGCTAAACCCCCCTATATAAATTAGTTAAAGCCAACAAGCTCCCTAAGAGCTGAATGTGTGTTGCACGCACGGATTTCGCGATTTGGGGTATGTTTTTTGACTTTAAAAGACCAAAATACCCTTTAAAAAATAAATTTAGAAATTTATAAATTCACCCCATAATTTTTGTAAGACCCAAAATAAAAGTTTCATAATTTTCTTTTATATTTAAAATAAAAAAATGTTCATTTATTTAAATTGAAATATATTTTTTAAATACTAGGGGTAATTTTGTCATTTCATTTAAGTAAAAACCCAATTTTATTGTAAGAAGCTGTGTGCTTCGTAAAATGTAACATAAGGGGAATATTGCTAATTGTTTTTAATATAATAGGTTTTTCGACAATTAGAGATTGCACATAGGGGTATCGGCTAATAACTAATAAAAGATGTAGGTGTTAGTTCTACTTGCTGGTAGGGCTGTGGTTGGCAATTCTATGCATTCATAACTATGGAGGGAATAAACTATCGTTCACTGACAATCAATTTGCAATTAAGTGTTTTTTTTTTGGACTTGGTTACCTCATATTGTTGCAGAAGTCAATGCCGTGGATCAACTTGACATCTCTCTCCTTTTCTGGAAAATTAGTTAAAAGTCCGAAAAATATTTGGTACCGCTTAAAAGGATATTATCTCTTTCTTCGTTTTGATTAAAAATATTTGGTACTGCTTAAATGGATTTCGGGACAGTTTAAAATCCGTGAAATCCTCTAATTAGGTTATTTTAGGCAATGAACAAATAATTATACTCTTTATGCACTCAACCGCAGTTATATATGCAATTTATATTGAGGACTTAACAATACATGAACATATGCACACAACAACATATATAGAGCTTCGACACACGACTTAGAAAGCTTGTTTGTGGAGTTTAATTACATTAATGAACAAGGACTTAGACTGAGTATCATCACTACATGAACAGATGCATTACACGACACATAGAGAACTTACACATACAACTTTGACATGTGGTCAGAGTCATCCTCAAACGTAAGTAACTTCAATGTGAAAGTGATATCTATATATCAAATCCAATCGATTGCGTAAAGCCTGCGATAGCAACGGAATGGGGAAAGTATGTAGAGAATATAATTCTTTTCTATTTTCTATTGTATTAGATTTAAGATTAGCATAAGCTAGTTGTTTAGATCAATGAGCAAGAGCTTAAATTGAGTATTATCACTACATGAATAGATGTATTTCGCAACATACATTCACATAAAGAATAATATAAGTTAATGAATAGATGCATTTCACAACATTCAAATAGCTTAAAATAATAATACACATAGAGGAGAGCTTAGTTAAATAATTCAAAGAATAAGCTTAAATCTGTGGTGCCTACACCACCACTACCATCACCAAACAAGACTTCACATATTTCCTTTTTGGTTTCTATATATATTTAAATAAATTATTGCTAATTTTATTGTTCTACAAAAGAGAAACAAGCGTAACCCAAAATGGTGTATGTAAAATGGTATGATTTTAACAATAATATTTTATATTGTAATAATAAATATGAAAAACTATATGTTGATTTTAAATGCCTATGAAAATCTGTTAACATAAGTTGTAACAGTTGTCGTGGGAACAGTATGCAAGTATGCAGTTACAACTACAATTCTTGTGTTAACACAGTTATAAACTACTGAAAACGAGTAAACAAACACAAGAATTTAATGTGGTTCAGACACAAATGTGCCCTACATCCACGTGGACTTGAACTCTGTGTCTCTTCCAACAACAACTCCACACCGCGTGCCTCGAACTTCCGTCAGGCCTGAACTCCCTTCAGAAACGCGGTTGATCTCCCTTGAGATCTATACAGCAGATCTGTATATATTGGCACACACAGCGATGACACAGTGCAACGATGGCACAGTCCTGCTCCGCAGAACGCCTTAGCAAACCTTCGACGCTATGAAGTGGTTTTTCTTCCGAATAATGCGCGCGGTTCTTGTATGTCTTGTAGGCTTATATAGCCACGGAAATATGCCCTAAGACCTAACTTGAACCCCAAGAAATCTATTTAACTAGGTAATAGAATCCTAGTTGATTTCTACTTCTATTCTAGATAAGTACAAAAGATACCTAACTAGAATAAAATACATGGAAATAAATATAAGTCATAATAGAAGTATTTAAGAATAGGACTCTAATAAATTCCAAAATAAACATGGAAAACCAATCTTTGCCAATCTTTTAATTCCAAAAAACTCGGCGGATTTCCTCGATCTTCAACACTCGGAAATCTGGCGCCAACAGTATATAAATTTACATGAAAGAATAGAGAAAAAAATAATAAATTGAAGGGTAAAAATTTATATTTACACAAGTTTGGGGGCCAAAACTTAGATCTTAAAAATATTACTCAAAATTAATTATTATTTTTTTCTTTAAAATCTTGAGGGTTCCACAGCCCTCTTATGTTCCGCCACTGACTGTGTGTAGCAGAACTTTGGTGATGGGGGCAACGGGGAACTACAACGATAGCAACGGATTGGGAAACTACATAGAGAAGATAATTCTTTCCTATTTTCTATTGTATTAGTATTTTCTATTGTATTAAATTTTAGTTTGGCATCAGTTAGTTGTTTAGATCAATGAGCCAGAGCTTAAACTGAGTATTATCACTACGTGAATAGATGTATTTCACAACACTCAAATAGCTTAAAATAATAATACACATAGAGCTTAGTTAAATAATTCAAAGAAGAAGCTTAAATCTCTGGTGCCTACACCACCACTACCATCACCAAACAAGACTTCACATATTTCCTTTTTGGTTTCTATATATATTTAAATAAATTATTGCTAATTTTATTGTTCTACAAAAGAGAAACAAGCGTAACCCAAAATGGTGTATGTTGTGCGGGTGCGAGTAATATTTTATTTATTTTATGTAAAATGGTATGATTTTAACAGTAATATTTTATATTGTAATAATAAATATGAAAAAGTATATAAATTTACATCAAAGAATAGAGAAAAAAATAATAAATTGAAGGGTAAAAATTTATATTTACACAAGTTTGGGGGCCAGAACTTAAATCTTAAAAATATTACTCAAAATTAATTGTTATTTTTTTCTTTAAAATCTTGGGGGTTCCACGGCCCCCTTTGCCCCTCTTATTGGGCAACGGGGAACAGGGAGAGATCAAATATTGAGGGTTGCAGCAGGAATTGTGGAGAATAAAAGAGGGGTAATTTTGTCCATGAAACATAGTGGACTTTTAGCAAATTGTCTATTAGTTTTACTTGTTTATAATTTACTTTAGAGAAAATGCATTATAGTATTAAACTTATTCGAATTGGTATTGCCCTTGTGGCATGTTATTTTGTTTAACGAAGGAACTGTCATCCATATATGAATTGGTTAAAACTGCTTTCGGGCAATAATTCAAAAGCACACAAGAGATAAAATGACCGAGCAAACCTTGTGCGATTAGCTCAACTTAGAAATTGTTGGTAGATAAATCGAAGTCGGGTCGTTAGGCTCACAGTTTTTATTTATAATTCATTTAAACATTTATAATAAAGATGACTGTAGACGCATAAAATTAATTAATTGGTTAATTAAATTAGCCAATTAAATTGTGTCTAAATTAAATTATAATTTATCTTGCAAAATAAATTATGGAGATAATTATCAATTAATTATTGGCCAATAGGATTATTTCTTCTCTTCCAAGTTATAAGAGATAAATATCAATTTAAAGAGAGCCAATCAAATCGCGCCACGTCATCAAGTAGACTTTAAGTAGGACTCTTATTCTACCACTATAAATAGAGACCCTCCCTACACAATTCAGAACACAACTCAAGAAGGAGAAAAACCGTAGAGAAAATTCTCTCTACAATATTCAAGTCGTTCTTCAACAAATTCAAGGCGTTCTTCATCAAATCGAGGGCGTTCTTCAACAAATTCAAGGCGTTCTTCATCAAATCGAGGGCGTTCTTCAACAAATCAAGATCAAAGGAAGATTGAAGGGCCAAATCCATCAAGAACTCCAAGATCTTCAAGAACAAATCAAGATCGAAGGAAGATTGAAGGGCCAAATCCATCAAGAACTCCAAGATCTTCAAGTCAGAACCCGTCAAAGTTCAGCGTTCGATCCGAGATTCAAGTCGCAATACCCTTGGAAGACTTTATTCAAATCCAAATCAAATCCGGAGAAGATCAAGTCAACGACCCGACTCCGAAATTCAAAGTCAAACAAATATTGTTCTTGAGAGAAGAATCAGAGGATTAAATTAGAGTTTGTAACCCGCAATATATTTATTTTTAATTCAATAAAATTATCTTTGTGCAAGTATTTCTTGTTTGTCTAAATCGCAGATAAGAATTTGTTGCTACAAATTTTGGCACGCCCGGTGGGACATCTCTACCTCTCATCTCTTCTCTCTCTCGAAGATCCTCGAAGTGTTGCAGCTGCAAGCGTCCTCCGAGACTAACTCGACGCCTCAAACCATTCAGAAAGGCTTACCACCTCTTGTCAACACAAGCGCAGACGTGGAAGGTTCAAAACGAAAGATTTCACAGCCCACGCCTCGTTCAACATCAAGCTACTCAGAGGTGGCATCCGTCATAACAACAAACGCTACAACCATGGAGGAGCAAATTGCAAGTTTGACAAAGGCAATTGAGGGACTCACAAAGCATGTTCAACAACGAGATTCTCAAATTGCCGAGTTGATCAACAAGATGGACAAAGCCGATGCTAGTCAAGCTGTGGAGAATCAGATAGAAGTTCAAGACGAAGTCGAGACATCCACAAAGACCCCGTAAGAAGAACCTGGCCTAAAAAACGTTTAAAAAGATGAGGAGAGAATCAAGTCTAAATGTTAAACTTTTGTTATGTGATTAGAATATATAAACGATGAGGAGCGAATCAAGTTCAATTTTTTTTATGCGTTTTAAGTATTTATTATAAATAATATTTAGGAATATATTACACTAAATCTAAAAATCAATTTATTTCCGATATATCTCCGATTAATCACCGTCGCACCGATTTATCGTGTGCCTGTCCCTAACCGCCTCAGACCCGATAACCGATATTTAGAACCTTGATAATATCTAAACCAAAACGATCAATTGGAAAGAACTCGGGATCTTTGCTGCAGAAGCACGTCAAATATTTATGATTCAACATTGTTTATGTTTACAATTTTTTTCTTCTTCAATCTAATTGTGATATTTGAAATTGTAATAACTTTCAGCAAGAGAGTCGAAATTCATTTCAAGTTCTAGTAGGATTAGACTTTGACTATCTCTTTGTCATTTATTATAGTATTTTGTATTTTTGTAGTTTAAAAATTAAGTTCTTTTAGTCATAATAGAATTTTACAATATGTTTTATCAATAAAAACATCCAAATTGACAAAAGGCTAGAAACATATCTTAGTATATATCCGAATAAAAATTGGCAGTGAACTGCCAAAAAAAAAAAGAATACTTTAACAAAATATGGCGTTGAACTAACCAAGATTGGTAGTGAACAACTGTAAAAATTATCAATTTACTTGTGAACAATTAAATATTTTTAAGCATAATATGAAAGTGAACATGTGAATATTAATTAAAGTTTAATTATGAACTTATTAAAATTGGTGAATTTTGGAATCGAACTTGTAGAAAGTGATAAAATAAAAATGGCAACGAACTTTTAATAATATGAACACATATAGATTATAGTGTACTAGTCTATTATTTTGATCATAAAGTTTTTAACAAAATTCTAATTTCAACCATTGGAGTTGGGTCTGAAAGACAACAAATTAAAGATGTCTACAAGTATTGTGCAATTTCGGTATTTAAATTAGATAAGTGGAAAAGTTTACGGTAAACATCTTAAAAACTGAGAGTGGGGTTTTCAGAAATTAAACAAAAAAGGCCGCGCACCAGTGTACCGTTTTGATCATAATGATTTCATAAAAAAATGTAATTTCAATGATACAAGTTGGGTTGGAAAACTAACTAACAGTGCCAAAACTTTCATGATTTTTGTCATTTGATATTCGAAGTAAATATGTGAAAAGAGAGAGTGAACTTTTCAAAAAGTGAACGCAAGCTTCGCACCAATGTATCATTTTGGTCGTAACGTTTTATACAAATTCAAGTTGGGTTGTCAAAACCAACAAACAAAGATACAACTTTTATGTTTTGCATTTTTTGAAATTTTATTGGATCAACGTCAGAATTCTAAGTAAACATCTTAAAAACGGGCATTTAACTTAGTTCGAAATTCAAAAACTCGAAAGCCCGAAACTTCAAAAACCAGAAAATCCGAAACACACGTGTACATTTTGATCTTTAACTTTTTCATGAAAATTCCTATATAAGTGGTTAAAGTTGAATTGAAAAGTTAATGAATAGAGCTACAACTCTTTTAGTTTATATTTTTTTGAAATTTGAATTGGATGAAAGTCAAAATTCATAATAAACATCTTAAAGACTGTGGATCTTTGAAAAAAGGTTTAATATTGGAGACACCCCTCAAATCAAACCTAATTAGATGTGAGGGACAACCCAAAATAGAACATTTTAATTAAATTCTTAATTTAAAATAAAATTTGACCAACATCCTTTTATTTTTATTTAACCCAAAAATACCCTTATTATACCTAATAAAATCAACGCTTCTTTTCTCTCTTATTATTTATTTATTTTCCATTCTCTCTTCCTCTCTCGTCCGCCGCTCACTGGCTTTTTCTCTTCTGTTTTTTTTCCAATTTCTCATCACCTCAACATGGTCTTTTTTCTCCATTTTTTCATTGGCCCCAGCCCTTCATCTATTCTTCTCTCTATCTCTATCTTTCTCTATTTTAGATAGTGATGCTGATTTGGAGGTATTAGTGTAGGGTTTTTTTCAGATCGGATCTTGGTGTGCGGGCGGCGGGCGGCGGGGTTTTGGTCGTTGGGGGCTGCGGTGGTTGTGGTCGCTAGGAGCGGCGGCGGTTTTGGTCCCTAGGTGCGGCGGTGGTTTTGGTCGCTCGGGGTTGCGGTGGTTTCGGTCGCTAGGGGCGGCGGCGGATTTGGTCGCTGGGGACGGCTGGCGGTAGTGGTTTTGGTCGGTGGGGGAGGCGGTGGTTTCGGTCGAGGGGGGCGGCGACAGTTTTGGTCGCTGGGGGTGGACGAGCGATGGTGATTTTGGTTGTTGGGGGTGGCGACGGTTTTGGTCGATGGTGGGGGTGGTGGTTTTCTTCGATGACGACGGTAATTTGTTTGTTAGAATTTGATGTTGTGTTTGGAGAAGGGGAAAGCTAATTAAGATGGAGGATGAGGATGGAGGGGGAGGTGGTGGTGGTGGTGGATCTAGGGTTTCATATTGGATGAGTGCGAATGACTACGGGCTTCTCTGAATTACTATGAGTGTCTACGAATGGGTAGCGGCTATGGTTCAAAATGTGAGTTAGGGTTTTAAGAGTATGTGACTACGAATTACTATGGTTCCTATCGGTGTCTATGGTCGACTGCGACCGATTTTATTTTTTAAACATTCATAATTTTCAATATTACTAAATTATAGTATACCATAGTACACTATAGTATACCATAGTATTTTAAAAACTGCTGTTTTATTTAACAAAAAAGAGAAAAAAAATCGTAATTTTATGTAAAATGTAAAAAAAAAAAAAAATTAAGTTGTTTATAATAATGTAAGAAATGCTAGAGTGAATCAAAAAATAAAGACGACAAAATCTATAAAAATAAAATAAAATATGTTAGATGAAAAAATAAGATATTAAATGCATAATAAAAAACGATAAATGCAGTTTGAATTTTACTAAATGCAGTGAAAGGGCATTTTTGGAATAAATTTAATAAAGGATGTGAAGCAAAAGTTTAGTTTGACTTGTCATTTAGTTCTAATTAGATTTGTCACTAGGGACCTATATCTTAAGCCCCCTTGAAAAAAAATGGATGTGTTTTCCTCTAGAGACTTTTAGGTGATAAAAAATGTGGGTGTATGACTGTACAATGAAATGTGAGGGGCTTTTAGCAAATAAATAATAAGTTCGTCCTTTTTGCTAATAAACTTTCATCTGCCGAACATCTAGCAAATTGCCCTGTTAGGTACAAGTTCCAATACTTCCAGACATAGATCCGTAGTAATAGAAAGAAGAAAAGAGATAGATTGCAAAATAGCTCAAGCTTAGAGCTGCATGTATGATCAAACGACTCAGTTCCCTTTTCTAGTGTTCAATCCAAAAGATTCAAGTTTTGGCGGCGACTCTAAAACGGAAACAAGCACCAAAAAGCTGCCAATCACCCAAAACCTTAGATCTACCCATAACTTACACTAAGTTGACTCAGCAACACATGCACAGTCAACTCAGTCACAACTCACCCTCTCCACTCAACACAAACCCTAGTTTTCCTCACTCAAAAATCTCGATCACTCATAGGGGATTGGAGGTGAAAACACTTGTTTGAATTAAAGGTAAAGTTTGCCTTATCTCCCTCTCACCACAGTATATAAACACAGTTTCAACGGTATGCAACATTAAATGAGTTGCGGCGGCAAGGACATCCATTGTCCGGCAAGATCAGCGACGGTTTCGTCGAAAAATGACAACGGATGACGAAATACTGTAGAGAGAGATGGGGACAAAAAGAGAGAGAGAAGTGACGCAACTTAGAATGGAACTGCTAGGGTTTGTGAGTTAGGTAAAGAAAAAGTCAATGAATGTCCAGGATCAATAAAAGATAATGAACGGTCGAGATCGGATCTGACTTGTGCTGTGGGCTTAAGTTGTTTGGACCCAATTTCCCGAGTTGGGCTGCCATTGACCCATATCACAAAGTTCACTTATGGGCTCAATTCTTAACATGCCCCAATTATCCTTTTTATTGTTTTAATCACCCCAATTATCAAACTTATCCAAAGTGGCCACGCCCTTGGGCGAGGGCAAATATGTATTTATATGTCGTTAGATTCTTCAGCATCACATTTCTCACGGCTGCGCTTCACACACTTGTACCTTGAAAACCTCAGCGAACTCATCCGTGCACCCTGCCGCAGACAAGCAAACCCGAATATTCCTTCGTCTCTCCGATCGGGAAATAAGAAAGCAAACCTCCTCCCCTCCCACCGCCTGCATCACCACACACCTACTTATACGTACGCGTAATCTGTATCTATCTATATCTGCGCAAGGGTGAATTATCCTTATCCATGGGTGGAAGAAGCCGAAAAAAGCCGAATAAATCGACTAGCCGGCCCGCCCGGCCATCTGCATCTTCTTCCGGCGGCCGCGGCCGCGGCCTCTTTGTAGAAGGCGGAGTTCTTTCTGATTGGTCTCCCTTCGGCTCTCCTCCTTCTAGAGGTTTCTATCACTCTTCCGAATTATTTGTTTACAATATCATTTTTTTTTAATGATTTTGCTGTTTAGGGAGAAAAGGGAATAATGGGGCAAATGGAAATTCGAGACCCCGAATCGGGAAAGGGAGCAATTCGGATCCAAAATCCGGATCTGCCCCGGGTCAGCGAGCCGAGGCTAAGAAGAATACGGGGAACGCTATTAGTTTCCAGTATCCTCAGCAGGTACGCAACTGCTCATGTTTAATTTTTATTTGGTTAACCAAAAATTGTGTTTTAACTCATACTTGCTGTTGTATGTGAGTTTATAATGACTGAAATAATATTGGATTCTGATTATGTTCTTTTGTAGCTTAATTACAGTGTCTCTGTAAAGAAAACATTTTTTGTTTTACGAAGAAAGCTAAATTTTTGTTATAAATTATTTGGTTCGTGGTTCTATTGGTTGAAGATTCTGAAAAAAGATAGAAGTTGCAATTTGTTGTTGAAGACTATCGGGCTGATAGATTATCGATACTTTCCAGGATAATACATTTATCAGTGGAGGTCGGAACCGAGGGGAAAGTTTTGATGCATCAAATCCTGTTGTCTTGATCGATTCAGAGAAGACGCCGATTATTGCATACTTCGACGAGGGACCCGGTAAAGAACCCCAAAATGTTGAATACATGTATGATTACACCACGAGCTTTACACTCGAAGAAAGCTCCCACAGAGGATTAGGGTTCAATGACGAAACGGAGACAACAAACGACGGTATTGAATATGAATCCTCATCCAAAATCGAAAAGAAAGAGGGTGATGCCACGGACTTATCTTCTTCTGAGATGGATCGTGGTGCAAATGCTGATGTGGATGAGGATTTGACGGCTGAGGTTTCTTCTCAAGAGGAAGATCCAGGTTATGTGATAATTGGAGGCACTAAGATATATACGTACGATACCGATGAAGATGTCGAGGAAGATGTGAGCGATGAAGGGTCTTCAGTATCGGATGACAGCTCAGCGACATCGGATAGTGACGGCTCGTCGTATAGTGGTTCAGACATTGACGACGAGATTGCTGCCGATTACTTTGAGGGAATAGGTGGAGTTGGCAACATCGTTAATGTTGACCAGCTTGTCGGAAAACAATTTGATTTGTCCGATTCTGACAGTGATTCTGAAGACAGCTTTGATGAAACTGTGCAGAAGTTAGGTGGGATTGATCTTCAGGATGCTTCGAGGATGTATGGCAAGGAAAAGCCGGGATTGGCAAGAAAATATCGAAGACAAGATAAAGAATTGACACCTATTAAGTATACCCAATCATCTGGCTTAGATGACTTAATGCTTGTGAAAGATCCAAGAACTATTTCTGGGAAGAAAAAGAATGTTGCTAAATTTCCACAGTCTTGGCCTTCTGAAGCTCGCAAAAGCAAAAAATTCAGAAGAATTCCAGGTAAGGTTACTGTGTTGTAATTGTTTAGCAAACGAGCATTTAAAGCTATCACGCTTTGCATTAAGGGAGTCCTTTTTGTGCAAGTTCTTGTTTATCTTCTGTTTTAATGTTCTCTAGGTGGTGGTCGTGGTTGAGTTTCGGTAAGTGAAAAGTGTTGGACCTTTCAAAAATTTATTTGCACTCAAGAGAGTATCTCTGTGCGTCATTTGGGTTGTAATTGTTTTCATTTTTATTGATACTGGTAATTTGTCAACCTGGACTCAGTTCATGGTATGTATACTTTGTGATTCAGGGGAAAAGAAGAAACATCGTAAAGAAACGATTGCAGCAAAGCGTCGGGATAGAATGGTTCGGCGTGGTGTAGATCTTCAGAAGATAAATTTGGTAAGGAAAAACGTTATTGTGGTTAGTAGCCGCTTAGTTCTTAGCTGATGTTGCCCTAGTTATTTCATAGTTATATGGAGTTCCTTTTGCATTAAGGCTGATCAGAAACTGAATTTGAATGATACATCTAGTGATCTACTTGGGTTTTATTGTCCAATGTTCATTTTCTTTTATTCTTTCTTTATTCATTTTTATTTCATCATTTGTGTTGGAAGATGGTTGGTCTTTATTTCGTCTTTGCTATATTTAAGTTTTATTTCTCCGAGGTTGTCTCAAATCAGGCCTCAAGGAGGAAGAAAATCTGCTAAGTGGTGCTCTTGTGAGATTTTGAGATTTTAACTGATCAAAATCATCCTTTTTCTTGTTGTAGAAATTTCAGCAAATGGTTCTTGATGGCATAGATATTCAATCATTTCCGTCTATGCATCGACAGGATTGTTCTCAGGTATGGTTTATGTTCTGAAACTTGTAACCAAGTATGTATAGTTATTTCCTGAACCCCCTCTGCTACACACCATTCCCCTTGGTAAAAATTATAATTTATGTAAAATCGTTTTTTTTCTTCATGTTAGTTCTATGTGACATGCTTTAATTCAATGCTGTTGTATTTTCAAACTTCGTATAATGATGGGCATCAAGTGGTGTTAATATCTTAACACCTATATACGTGAATCTCATTTTTACCCTTTTTATTGCATGAAAAAGTCAAAATAAAATTCTGCATCATAAGGCTTATTAAATGGCCGCTACAAAAAGTTCCGCTCTTATGTGTTTTTTGCCTTAAACTTCTGAAATATGGGCTTAAGACATTATGTATGCTCTAAGTGTTATGTTCAAAATTATATTTATCCATTTTTTGTTATGATATTACAGGTACGCAGGTTAGCTTCCATTTATCGATTGCAAAGTGGATGCCAAGGATCTGGCAGGAAGAGGTAAACCGTGTTATGTTCTTTTCTGTTATCTATGTACATTCTTGAAACTACAAAATTTGGCTAACGGAATGAATAGTTAATTTATATGAACCATATTATGCATATTAAGTTCTAAATTATTCTGCCATATATACATCACTTGCTAGATGATCCAGTTGTTCCAATTAGAGATTCACTCTCATAATTCTTTTTGTTTTTTTAAGGAAATAATATATTTATTTTTATCGTTTTGCATCTTGTTTCCTACCTACTTAATTTGTTGGCAGCAACAGCCTGTTTGGTTTACATTTTTTGGTTTGGTAAAAAGAACGTAATTTTTACTACTTAAGCATACATGTCTCGGGGGATTTTTTCTACTCAGTAGGGTCAATGTGCCACTTTTCGTGAGGTAGATCCACCGAGCCCCGTCTGATGAGTTCCCTGTTTCATATTGTCTCCATTTTGTTTTTGGAACTTCCTTAACAAACATTCCTTTTCCTAAGTTTTTTGTTTCTTCATAAAACGGTCTCACTTGATGTAATGATATCAGTTAAATATTATTTAGGGCCAGAATGTAAGCTTTTATAAGACATCTGTTTTTTTCGGTGCTCATAAAAACTCCATTCCGAGTCAAATTGGATTTATATAAACCGGACCACTGTAAACTGTTTTTTTTTTTTCTCCTTCAATGCCTTTGAACTCGATCTACGGCAAAGGGTGTCTCTCAGTTACTGGTTTTTGGGTTATTCTGTTTTTGTAGCCTCCATTAGGGTTTTACCATGTGTCGGTGAGTGGAGGTTGCATGATTTTATCTTGTGCATGTCAAACTTTCCGACATTGGTTAAGACTTTTGCTTATTTTGGAAAACAGGGCGGTGTTGATTAGCATATACAGCTCGTTGAAAATTGGCTGACCCTAGACGAAAATCTTAAGATGATATTATACAATCAACATATAAAGAAAATTGTGCACCTCATTTTTTCATTTTACAGTTTGCCCTTTATGTAAAAATATCAATCATAGTTAGGGCGCTGAGTCTTGAACTGAACTTGTTATTTTGTTCCTCAGATATGTGACTGTGATCCGAACACACCAAACATGTATGCCAACCCCAGGTGATCAAGTTCGCCTCGAGAAGGTATTTCATTAATTCTCCGTCGAATATTGTTCAGCTTCTTTGCTTTCATAGTATCTCCACAAACTCGTGAACTTGTCGCCGAACTATTGCTTTCTGAATTGCAGCTGATAGGAGCTAACGAAAAAGATGCTGATTTCTCAGTCATTGATGGTAAGCCTGTTAAAATGGATACATATTATGCAAAAAAGACTGCCAGAGTTGGTGGGACCACCCCGGTAGGCTCACAGTCTCTCAAGAAGAGATCGAATAAGAATAAGACACCTGGCAAAACAGGCTCCTATTCCACACAGCCCCTTTCTTTCGTCTCGAGTGGTATTATGGATCCTGCAATAGTTGAGCTTACAACTACCGAATCAACAAACGAGACAAACCCTGAAAAACAAACCGCAGCTAGCTTGGAATACGGTGCGTTTGAGATGCACACAACTGGATTTGGATCGAAAATGTTGGCTAAGATGGGATATGTAGAAGGTGGTGGCTTAGGAAAAGATGGCCAAGGTGTGGCTAAACCGATTGAAGTTTTTCAGAGGCCTAAATCACTCGGATTAGGTGCGGTGGCTCCGGAAGCTTCTAGTAGTAAACAACCCACGACGAACGTGAAAGCTCAGCCCAAGTCAGTTCGATCCAAGTCTTGTGGGACAAAAGCAAAACCGGCGAAAATCGAGAACAATAACTTTGGTTCGTTTGAGAAGCATACGAAGGGTTTTGGTTCGAAAATGATGGCAAAGATGGGGTTTGTAGAAGGTGCTGGATTGGGGAAGGATGCACAAGGCATTATTAACCCTTTAGTTGCTGTGAGGCGCCCGAAATCAGTGGGATTGGGTGCTAATAAGAGCAGATTGGTCTAATTTCCATAGCTCGACTCTAAATGTGACGTGTATATTTATGATAATCCTTTTATTTATGTTTTTTTTATTTTTTATTTTTAATTGGGGATGGTGAAGAACGAGAGTCCGCTGAATTTTGCTGTTAAGGGTAAATTGCAGAGTGCATATTCGGGTATGGCGTGACTACAAAGTTCGACTTTGTTTATTTATAAATTTATGTATGTACTTTCTAATTAAGCTCTCGGAGTAACAGTGTACTTTCTAATTATCCCGATATCTGCCGAGGGTGATTATCGATTATAGATGATCCAAGCTTGAGCACTTGTGATTAGGTTTATAATTATGGATACTAAAATCTGTATTAGCTATAAATGGTGGAGTTGGAGTTATGAAGGATGGAGGTTGCTAAGATTGTAACTTTGGTGCTTTTTATATTGTTTAGATTAGATTACATATGCGGAATATTTCCATCTTTTTCGGAAGTATAAAACTAATTCTAATTCCAATTTCAAAATTTTTGGAATCTAGAAATTCATTCCTATCTATGGACGTTTCGAAGTTTTGGAAATTTCAGTAATTTTGGAAATCATGAGTTTAACATTTTTTAAAAGTATATTCTAACGATAGTAATACCCAAAGTTTTTTTTTACCTGAGATACTGAGTACTTTTGAGTGTCCAACACAAGAGAAAAATAAGTAAATATTCAATTTATTTTACACTAAGTAGAATAAATAAGATATTTTATATAATTTCAATCTCAATTCAAAAAAATTGGAATTTTAAAAATCAGAATGAAGAAAGTTGTTTCAAAATTAAGACTTTTCGGATAGGAACTAACGGAAATTGAAAATTCCGTTCCACCATTCCCCCTAGATATGGCGTGTGTGTGCATTATTTTGAGTATTTGAAATCTTTTGTTTCGAAGTCAACACACTCTATTCCTTTTTGCTTGGCACGCTAATTCGGCAGATCTACTATCTATATCTATGTATTTGATAATGACAACTACTTCGCCACATAACGTATTAGACGGATGATTAAATAAAAAAGTTCTTCGACTAAATTTATTTTTAATCAGATGATAAATTTTTATATTCGATAAACTATTTTAAGAACTGATAAATTATTACCTCTTATTTTTTAATTTATTTTTGAAGTGCTTGGAAATTACCTTATATGTTATTTTTATTAATTATAATATCTTAATTTAAAACGTAGAATATAAATACTTTAAAAAAAAATTCTTATAAGCTCTTCAGTGTTTTAGTTTGTAAATTTTAAGACATAAAAAAAAATTAAATTACGAAACACTGATTTAACAATTGAATTTATTATTGCAACTCACGAAATGGCAGGCCCAACAAATAGTTATGTGAGGCTATGACCCCCTAATTCTTAAAAAAATCTAATTTATTAAGAGTAAATTATTAAAAAAAATTCAAACTATAAATTTGTTATTTTTGGAGTACCATGGTTTGTCGGCCTTGAAGAAAGTTTAATTTGATTTTGGCTCCACAATGAATTAAATGAAGACAAAATCCTAGTCCACCCCACCGACAACTCTATATTTCATCACACACAAATGTATAACATTACAATTAACAATTACAAAATTAAACACACGCATATCTATATATATATATATATATATATATATATATATATATATATATATATATATATAAAATAGAATATAAAGACACAACACGCAGTGACAGCTGATAATGATAAAGTATAGTGATTAGGTAGAGTGTTAGATCTAAGGTGCTAAGTTTACGTGACAACCATAACAAGTAAAGAGACACCCCTCCATACTCTTGAAAATAAATAATAATAATAATAATAATAATAATAATAATAATAATAATAATAATAATAATAATATGCTTGAATTTATAATGTTGTCAGATTTGTATATTTACTAAATTAAATGACTTTGGAAAAATTATAAGAGAATAATAATAATGTTTGGTTATGTTTTTATTTCACTTTAATTATTTCGCCGAAATAAATTTGTGTTTGCTACGGTTTTGCAAAAGAATTCACAATATAAGTTTTAAAGTTTCTCTTTCCTTCAGACATGATTAATAACTGCTACAATAAATATATTTTAAAACACTTTTAAACATTATTTGACAGCTAAACAACTGTATTTTGTCTCATTTTATATTATCAACAAACAATTTTATTTTATTTTAGAAAATTTACGGCCACCCCCTGAGTTATGGTCAAATTACGAAAACTCCCCTTCTGTTTGGGTAATTACAGTCACCCCCTCAACTATGTATTATCTTACGAAAAGACCCCTCTAGAAGTAAATTTTAAGGATGTTAATTCGGTAAAACTTAATCGAAAATTCGGTACGCCAACATTTCATACCGTTTACCGAAATGAATATACAATTTGGTTTGGTAATAATCGAATCACATATATTTTATGTAAAAATATTTAAAAAGAGGAGGGTGGCTGTAATTACCCAAACAAGAGGGGTACTCTCGTAATTTGTACATACCGTAGGGGGATGGCCGTAATTTACCCTTTTATTTTCTTCCAAAGAAACAGAATAGTTACTAATTCCCAAATTCCTCTCCTGATATTTCGAATCCATAACCAAATAGTTTTAGGTGCAATGTGCTTACCACCGGGCTACATTGTCTTGACAAATTATAAATAAATATTACTTCCGCTCTTCAATTACACCCTCAAAACATATTTCCGGAAAATAACTCACAGCAAATCCAAACATTTATTTTTGGATAGTATTTGAACTTTTTCTTTAGCTCTGTGTTAATTATAAGTCCTTTTGTAATTATTCATCTATAAATGTTACTTTCTTTACGGTGCCGTCACTGGCGGTAGTCTTAAGGGGCAGGGGGGCCTGTTGATCACCCCCCAAAAAAAAAATTTTTTTTTAGGTATTTGACATTATATTTTCTAAATATTACTTTTGGCCTTCCCAATTTTTTGTAAATATGTGTTTTAATTCCCTATTATTTTTCTCTATAATCTTATATAAATTATAGATAAATATATCATATTTAATATAAAATATAAAATTATAAAATGGTTAAAAATTGTATTATCTTTATATATAAAAGAAAGGTTTTGCCCCGAAACCCTAATCCCATTTTTGTGAAATATTTGTAACCCTAAGGTTATATTCGGTAAATTATATATCAGTCATATTTCTTTCAAAAGTCACGGTCCTTTTCAGTTTTTTTTCCTTCTTATTTTCTCCTCATTTATAGCACACTTTGTCTCATCTTCCTCCTCCACTTTTATAGAACACATTTAGTACACGTTTCAAATTATTTGTATTTTTTTTTATTTTTTTTTCTTTTAAAAAATATCCTAACCGTCCACTACCAAAAAATCGGAGCACTGATACACGATTGAAAGGGAAACTGAAAGCACTTTTTATCTCAACTCCATCACAAATTGTTATCCTATTTAAACTCAAATCACTCGGTTGAATTCAATCACGTTTTAACACACAAAAATTCCATGCTTCTCTTTCTTCTGCATTAGGTATTTTCTCGAAGAAAAAAAAATCATCGTCATCATAAGATGAAATTAAAATTTCAGGGGTTCATTTACCTTTTCCTTTCTCTCATTAATATTTCTCCGAAAGTTTAACTTGTAAAAACAGCCCAAATTCGAACACATATCAAGGTTGAAGATATGCATTTGACTGATTAGCGTTGAGCCTTACACAGTGTGGTTACTAGGTAACAAAACCTTTTTTTATATGCGGCTATAAAAAAAATCAAAGTTTCGTTCTTACGCGTATAACATAAGGAACTTCATTGCATTATTTAAAGAATTGCTTTTTTTCTTCTTTATGTGTAATTTTTCTTTTAATTTCACTTAGGAATATGAAAGTCAACATCGAGGCTCCTCAGTTATCCCCGCTCTCATTTGCGGCAAAATCCAACGATAATAAACCACCGCTCCTCGAATTCCCCTTCTGGTACTATGCAATGTATATGTATATACTTTCAGAATATACTCATTAGTCCCTCTCTTAAATGCACCTTAATTCCTGAGGATAAGTTGCTCCTTCCTGAGGATAAGTTGCTGGAGAATCTAATACTACGGAGATGTGAAATGTGATTTTATGACTGAAAGTTTGTGCACTCCAAAAAATACTAATCAAAGTGAAGTTGAGATTTAATATGTACTTTTTTTTTCCCTACATGTAATGGTTCATTTATGATCTTAGGTTGTTATTACTGCAATGCTTCCTTTTTTTAATCATTTTTTTACATTCTCTTCATGTACATTTATGGTTGGAAACATAAATTATATTTATATGTGTATATGTTCTTCATTTTTTATTGTTTTATTCTTCTTTAGTTACCAATTATGCATGTATGTCTTTTTAAGCATTTTGAAATTATAGTTTAATTTGTATCACTGTCAAAAAAAAAATTAAAATTATAGTTTGTATTTGTTATCAGATCGAACACTAACAATGTTTTTCAAGAACGTTATTCCATCCCTACAAACTTTGAAGAAGCTATGTAATCCTTTTTTCTTTTGTAATATAAACCTTCTCTATATTTTTTTTCTTCACATTATACGTATAAAAAAACGTGTTTGTGATGACTTCTCTTTGTGATTGCAATTAGTGAAATGTCAATTTCTTCGTTGTTCTACGTATTGATTTTGTACATGACAGTCGTTAATAAATTTTGTCTTTATTAGATTTCTCTTATTATCATGTATTTATAATAATTCGTTTAGATCTTTTATCTCTAATTGACTTGAAAAGATGCACTATTTTTCCACATTATTAGATAGTATGTCGTTTGCTTAATTGATTGTTCATGTTGATTAGTTGATTAGTTGCAGTAAAAAATAAAAACAACTTTTTGGTTGTTGCATTTGTAGAGATTGTGGTGTATGTAATTGGATGAATTTTTTTTATTTTTACTTTTTATTTTATTTGTGATGGCTTTATTTATATCAAAGATTCGAAGACACTTTAAATGTAGTCTTTCGAAAAAAATTAATAGTAATTTGCACCCTTAAAAACATAATAAATCATTCACAATTTACTCTCATATTGAATTTTTGTAACTTGATGAGGATAATTTTTTCTTAATACTGGTATTTTTCAATGAAAAAAATAAATCGTCCCAAATGGCTTGAAAGTTAGTTTTAATAGAACAAGAACAAATTATTTTCAAATATTTTCTCATCATATTATCCGAGGGATTGGTATTTTATTGGAATCAATAAAAATAAATTGATATAATCAAAATCATGGTAATTTTATTTTTTACTATATATGTTAATTGTGCAATGCAGAGTTAAGAAAATAATTCCTTTAGCCACTGTCGTATATAAAAATAATTCCAGTGGGTACGTTAAAAAATTATAGTAAACGGTATACTGATCGAATGTTGAAAACAAAAATTGAGTTTTTTTTGTGAGAAACAAATTTAGCTTTAAATTAATTTGGTGAGTAATTCTTTTATTTTTGCACTTCGTATGTTAAAAAAAAATCACCAAAACAAAAATGCCATTAGAAAGATGATTTTGCCTTCTAAACTATTAAAAATTTAATTTGGGGTGCAATTTGTATGATTTTGTGTTTAGATGGTACAAAATGCTATTAAATTTTTGTGGGGGTGTAAAGTGAAATTAAACCCATGTTCTACTGGAGGTAAATGTTATCATGGATCTTATATGTAGTAAGCTTTACTTATAGAAAATGTTCATTAATTTGTCAATTGAACATATATATACTATTTTTTTTTTCAATGGCCCGTGCATCGCACGGGCCAAATTACTAGTTTTAAATAAAATTTATGAATATTACTTACTTTTGAATTTTTTTATCAATGCCTTTATAAAAGTAGTACGAGATCGTGCCATGAATCCCCGAAATATTAAGTACAATACATTATTAGAATAATTTGGATTAATTTAGAAATTTTTGTGATGATATAATTATAATATATATGATATTTTAATTAAAAATTAGTAATATAAACTTATTTTTTGCAATGTTTTGTGAACCTAAATTTTTTTTTCGTGGCGCTGCCCCGAACCCCAAAATTTTTCATGTTTTGTGAACCTACATTTTGATTTTGGTTCCGCCCCTGGGTACCGTGGTGATCACTCAACTTGATTATTAAATGATAATAAGTTTATTTAATTAGCTCTCAAAAAATTAAATAATTAATACTATGATGTAAGGCACCGTTTGGTTACCAAGGTAAGATTAGCCAAAATAAGATTAAATAATCTAATGAGACTCAATTATTTTATTAGAATTTGAAACATCCAAAAAAAAAATTCATTAAAAAACTAATATCACAAAAAATGTTCAATAACGTAACTACTGAGAAGAACTAATTAATAAAATAAACAATAAGAAGTAGTAAACTAATATCAACATCTAAAAAACATGAGATCACATAAAATAATTAGTCTCCCATAAATAAACCACAATAAAAAAAAAAAAAAAAAAGGAAACCTTGGAAGAAAGCACAAGTCTGAAGATACTAAAAAGTAAAAAGTCATATGTTGTGTTATCAATTAAAGAGCATATTTATATTTTATTTTCTTGAAAATTTGAGATTTTGTGGACTTGAATAGTGTGTTGTGCGTGTGTATATATATATATATATATATATATATATTCTTACTTTTATTAGATCAACAATTTTATTGTACATTGTGCATGTGTAGTACTTATTTCTCTATTATATGCTACACCAAGTGTCAAGTGATTGAATTATTTTAAAGTTTAATTATAGACAATCATACGTATAAACATGAGTAAAATGTGCGTGGAATTTATATACATATATGATATAATATACATGTAACCCAACAAAATTCATCGAGTATAGCATATAACAAACTATTAAAGAATTTTTGTACAATTTTCAGTGTTAAATTGGAAAGTTTATATTATTTTTAGGGGAAATGTCGCAATGTAGCGATCATAAAAATGGCAACATATTTTTTCCATTATCAGTAAATTTGACAACAAATCGTTTCGTTTTAAGGATTAGGTACGCAAAATACAAAATCATTACAGCGGTGTTTGCAAAAGTTTATGGAAAAGCAAAAGTTGGTGATTGGGATTTTTTTTTTTGAAATAATTACTTATCTCTAAATTTTTCTATGTTTGCAAATGTCAAGAAAAATTAACTTTAAGAAGTTAATTTATAAGTTGATGTTTTTGTAAACTAAACTGCAAGTTTTAGTTATTTTCAATGTTTTTAAAACCGGACCGGACATCGAACCGGACGCACCATCGGGTCACGGTTCGACCGGTTCAACCGGGGTTCAACCGGGTTTTTTACTTTTTTTTTTCAAATATAATTATTTTATTAATTTAATACTTTAAATATAATATCTTACATATACTTTACATTTTCTTCCAACTTTCTTCACTTCATTATACAACTTTAGTCCACTTTCTTTTTATAAAAAAAGAATTTATTCATTTCTTTTTCTTTCTCCTATCCTCTCTCTCTCTCTCTCTCTCTCTCCCCTCTCGCCTCTCTCTTTCTTCTTCATTGTCAATTTTGACGTAGAAGCCTCCCATTCCTCTTCTTCCCTTCTTCTTTTTTTTTTTTTTGTCTTTCTCCCAAGTTTATCGTTTCTTCTCTACATCTTCACGCAAACATATTGTTTATTTTCTCCACTTCTTTTTTCTTTCTTTTCTTCAATCGAGAAATATGGCTGCCACCACTTGGATCGGGTGACATACGACCCAGATCCGTCCACCCACAGCCCTATCCGACAAGATTCAGTCACCCATGACCACCATCGACGTAGATCCGGCCCTTTTGTGCTAAAAACCGGTTCTCGGACCGGTTTGCGGGTTTCCCGGTTCTTACCGGTCCAACCGGTTTTTTGGTGATTAACCCGGGTTTTTGACCATTTTGGGTTTTCAGATCTAACCGGACCGGACATGGCCGCGGTTCGCGGTTGAACCGGTCGGACCGGCCGGTCCGGTCCGGTTTTCAAAACATTGGTTATTTTAGCGTTAATGTGAGAATAGAAAGAGTGAATTGCACTTTGCACCCCACAAATGACCTAAATTGGCACTTTGAACCCTAAAATTTAAAAATTGGTAAAGATCACCTTACGTTATCTCATAGCACAATGCACCCTACATTCATTTGTTACAATATTTTAGCTAACAAGTCAATATATCATGATTTTTAAATTTTGAAGTGTTTTTTGGTGTTCTTTTTTCTGATTGTTTTGTAATTTAACAATTTTAACTTGATATGATTTTTCGATTCAGTTTTAATTTACAATAATTCATATAAATTCCCAAAGTTTTGCAAAAAATAACCAACATTTTTTTATAATTAGCATTGTAATTGTTTTTTTTCCAAAAAAAAAAAGTCATTTTTTTATCAAAAGGGCTAATTGTACAAATTAGATAAATTCAATTAATTAGGCTTATAAAAATAATAAGAAATAGACAATTAATTGACATTGTAATTTTTTCCCGAAGAAATCATTTTTTTTAGTCGGATCAATTTTTTCATATATACAAATTTCGTTTTCGATCTGAAAAACTGATAAAAGAAACTTCGTATTCGCTCTTTTGTATATTGTGCATTATATAATATATCTTATTTTATAAAAACACCACAAAGAAAGAAAATCCCTTTGAAAATCAAAATATCGCGATATATGGACGGAATTTTAGTTAAATTCTCACAAGAAATAGATGGCTGCATTTTGCAACGGAGAGATATTGGAGGTTGAACATTGCCCATTTTTAAAATTTATGGAGCAAAGTGCGAGTTTAGGTCATTTATGAGGTGCAAAATGCAATTCACCGGAATAAAAAGAACAACATTGTTATGCATTGAATTTTATTCTCATATTAATAATTTTAAATTTTGTCATGACAAAAAAAAAATTGCAAAACACTAAAATTTAACACCATAAAAGTGGACGTATAAGAAAATCGATAGTCGATAGGCGTGGCTGTAATTATCAAAACATAATAGATTTTTTCATAATTTGACATTACATTAGGGAGTGACCGTACTTTAGCGATTATTTTTTTTATCATATTTTTACTCTTGTTTCTTCCAAAAGAATAAAATGTTTAAAATAATAATAAAAAGTAGTTAGGAATCGATTTTTTTAAATAACTAAATAATATGAAGGGTAAATTACAACCACTCCCTGAAGTATGGTCAAATTAAAAAAACCCCTCCTGTTTGGGTAATTAGAACCACCCCTTAACTATAACTCTTACACGTCCACCCTTGCGGTTTCAAATTTAGTAGAATCTTCGAGATTATGTGGCATATTATCACTTTTGTACCCATTTTATCCTATTCGATCTCCACATTTTGAAGCAAGATGATCATAATATGTATTTTTTGGCTTGTATATATATCAGATTGGGGTGCATCGGAAACTTTATTTTAACACAAAACGAGTACAAACTAGAACACATTTTACGAAATCTAGATGATTATGTTGAATTTGACACCATAAAGGTGGAGGTGTAAGAGAAAATCATAATTGAGGGGGATAAATGTAATTATACAAACAAGAGAGATTTTTTCATAAATTGACCATAAATCAGGGGTGATTGTATAATATGAATTGTTTCATTTCACACACGAGTATTGTCGGTGACACTTTGAAAAATTGTTTGGCATCATGTACTTTGCTTCCAAAATATATATTCTAAATAAATAAATAAATACACAGTCCTCTCTCCTTCCTGCCAATTGTCATCTCTCTCTCTCTCTCTCTAACATTTCTCCTTCTGAGTGAGCAGTTTCCAAATCCACATGTTCTCCGCCGCCGCTGATCTCCCTCTTCCGATTCGCAGGTTAGTGCTTCTGCAAATTCCGTACACTGATGTCCATTTTCAATTTGCATTCTCTTTTCTTCTTACCGCTGTGCATTATCTTTGAATTACGCGAACAAATTATCTCCAGATTCATCTAGTTCTCATCCATTTTTTTTTCAATTTTCATTGTCAGATCTTGATTTAAAAAAAAAAAAAACTAAAAAAAATCCTGCATTGCAACCGGTTTTGTTCTTGGCATTTTATCATTGATTCCCCGATCCGGTCACTCCGGATCTGCGAAGAAAAACACAAAAAAAAATGGAGCGTTTTCACAATTTGAAGAAGATCTGGGTGTTGCTGATTTTCGCGGGGTTTCTCCAATTGGGGAATGGGTTTTATCTCCCGGGCAGTTACCCACACAACTATGGAATCGGGGATTATCTGAATATGAAGGTCAATTCACTGACTTCAATCGACACCGAAATCCCCTACAGCTATTACAGCTTGCCCTACTGTCTGCCCCAAGGTGGTATTAAGGACAGTGCCGAAAATCTCGGGGAGCTCCTGATGGGCGACAGGATCGAGAATTCTCCGTACAGGTTCAAGATGTACACGAACGAGACCGATATTTTCCTCTGCCAGACGAAACCCTTGTCGGCCGACGAGTTCAAGCTTCTCAAGAAGAGGATCGACGAAATGTACCAGGTGAACGTCATTCTCGATAACCTGCCCGCGATTCGGTACACCAAGAAGGACGATTTCATGCTGAGGTGGACTGGCTACCCCGTCGGCGCGAAGGTTCAAGATTCGTACTACGTGTTCAATCACTTGAAATTCACGGTGCTTGTCCACAAGTACGAGGAGACGAACGTGGCTCGCGTGATGGGCACTGGGGACGCGGCTGAGTTGATCCCGACCGTCGGAAATGATGGATCCGACGCACCTGGTTACATGGTCGTCGGATTCGAAGTGGTGCCTTGTAGCTATCAGCACAGTGGCGACACTTTGAAGAAATTGAACGCGTACGAGAAATACCCATCTCCAATCAACTGCGATCCAGGCACTGTAGCTATGGCGATTAAGGAAAACGAGCCGGTGGCCTTTTCGTACGAGGTTTCGTTCGTCGAGAGAGACGACATCAAATGGCCTTCGAGATGGGACGCGTATCTGAAAATGGAGGGTGCGAAGGTGCACTGGTTCTCGATTCTCAACTCTTTGATGGTGATCACTTTCTTGGCAGGGATAGTGCTCGTAATTTTCTTGAGAACCGTACGAAGGGATCTTGCTCGGTACGAGGAGCTCGATAAAGAAGCACAAGCACAAATGAACGAAGAATTGTCCGGATGGAAGCTTGTCGTGGGCGATATTTTCCGAGCCCCTTCAAATCCTTCGCTTCTGTGTGTGATGGTCGGTGACGGGGTTCAAATACTCGGAATGGCAGTTGTCACGATCCTATTCGCCGCGCTAGGGTTTATGTCCCCTGCTTCTCGAGGAACGCTGATATCTGGTATGCTGTTCTTCTACATGGTTCTTGGAATCGCAGCTGGTTATGTGGCTGTACGTATGTGGAGAACAATCTACGTTGGAGATCACAAAGGCTGGATGTCGGTCTCGTGGAAAGCCGCGTGCTTTTTCCCCGGTATTTCGTTCTTTATATTCACCATCTTGAATTTCCTTCTATGGCATAGCAACAGCACGGGAGCGATTCCCTTTTCGATATTTGTCGTTCTGATTTTACTATGGTTCTGCATTTCGGTCCCACTCACACTTGTTGGTGGGTACTTTGGTGCGAGGGCGCCGCACATAGAATACCCAGTTCGAACGAATCAAATTCCTCGCGAAATCCCGCCCCAGAAATACCCGTCTTGGCTTCTGGTTCTTGGTGCTGGTACATTACCTTTCGGGACGCTTTTTATCGAGCTTTTCTTTATAATGTCGAGTATTTGGATGGGGAGAGTGTACTATGTTTTCGGGTTCCTTTTCGTGGTTATGATTCTTTTGGTGGTGGTGTGTGCTGAGGTGTCGCTTGTGCTTACGTACATGCATCTGTGCGTCGAGGATTGGAAGTGGTGGTGGAAGTCTTTCTTTGCTTCTGGTTCGGTTGCTATATATATATTCCTTTACTCGGTGAATTATTTGATATTTGACCTAAAGAGCTTGAGTGGGCCCGTCTCTGCTACTCTCTACCTCGGTTATTCGCTCTTTATGGTTGTTGCTGTTATGCTTGCTACCGGCACCGTTGGGTTTCTTTCTTCGTTCTGGTTCGTGCATTACCTCTTTTCTTCTGTTAAGCTCGATTAAATGTTTTTGATTAGCTTGCCGTGAAGCAGCTTTTAAAGGTTCATTTCTTGTTTTTTTTTATATCTTTTTTTGTTTCGGAGGATTTGGATGAACAAGAATAACAGTAAGAAGTTTTGTTGAAACTTTTTTTTTGTTTCTTTTCTATAGATAAAAGTATTTGAGAATGGTAGCCGAATAGGGTTTTCATAGATATATGATCGGATACACGGTTAGTCGGTTCTTGATTTGTATTAATAACGATGATCTATTGTTCATCTGCTGTTTTGATATGATCAAGGACGTGATTATTTGGTCTCGTCTCAAATGATTCATTTGTCGTCGTTTATGATCTGATGTAACGAACTTCATTTAAGAATCTATACTATTACTTACCCTCATTCAATTTTGTATTTCGATGATTATGTTAGCAGAAAACTATAGAGTATAGGAATAAAATTAGTTGCTCTCGAGGTTTGGCTTATTTGTTCATTGAAGTTCGTAAGATATATACAGTTGAACCTCCATAAATTAATTGGGACTAGGGAAATTCTATTAATTTAGCGAATTATTAAATTATCGAGCTAATAATTTAACATATTTTCATCGAGTCGGGACCGAGAGAAACTATTGTTTAAGCAATATTATTAATTTATCGAGGTTCTACTTAATATCCTCTTATATATTGTAACTGCACCTAAGGAGGGAGCAAATGAGAACAAAGTTTAAGGATCAATAAGTTGTTCTTACAATTTTTATTGAGTATTTTGTTTGGTTGTTTGCAATGTAACTTTTTGTTAAATGCTTTGGTTTTATATTAAAATTTCCTCCAACACTGATGGATTATATCACATGAACATGGCCACTATTTAAAAGGAAGGTTAAAATTACGGCCGCTCCAAGGAAAGATCAAATTACGAAAAAAAATTATCTTATTTGGGTAATTACAACCACTCCATTCGAGCTCCACATCTTGAAATAAAATGATCATATGATGTTGTCTCTTGGTTTGTAAATATTAAATTGTGGTGTATCTGAAACTGTCATTTGACACGAAACGAGTACAAACTAGAAAACATTCCATGGAATTTAAAAGATTCTGTTGAATTTAACACCATAAGAGTGGACGTGTAAGAAAATTCATAATTGAGAGAAACGACGGGAGAAATAATTGGCAGAAGCCTAACAGCTAGGGTTAAACAAAATTATGTAATTCCAGTCGTAAGAGGTTAGATTAGTACGAGGGTATAACAGTGAAACTTAATTAATTGTTCACATAATTAATTTTTATTAGTTAAAAATATTTTGAATTTATCTTGAAATATAAATTTCTTTGGGACTCATTGTAACTGCACGTCACGTGTAACCAGAGTATTTTGTCAAATAATCCGAAACAAAAGAAACATGTAACCGAAACTTTGTTGTTTCATTCTGTCAAGGAAAATATGCAAGAGATTAATAATAAGATTTAATTGCATTAACCCAATTTAGAAGAATTAATGTTTGCCTAACGTATTAATAATCACTGATCATGACTGATCTAAGAGTGCCTTCCTAAACTTATCAAACACCTTTTTTTTATAATTTTTTTGGTGTCTTGTAAATTTGAATTTAATATAAGAGGTAGATTTGAAATCACACGAAACATCAATAAATATTACAATGCAAATTGACTCAAAATCACACAAAACATCAATAAATCTTACAATGTCAGACGCGTACACATTTTATGATCGCGTTCGCACATTATTTTGCTCAAAAGATGGTGATTGTACTTCAAGATTGATTTTGACCGTATTCCAATTATACGAATTATGGAAAACTGAAAACATAGAAGTTGTAAGCCACGGTGTTATCTTCTTAATGCAATTTGAATGAAGTCATTCGGTGGTTGGATGACAGAGTTATGCTCGACGTGACAAACATTATTCAAAATTATTGTTGGTATTCTTTTGCGACAATTGAATTTGGAACTTGCAAGTTTTCTCCAATTACTCATTTATTAATTTAAGGCAAATAGGCCTATGACAAGGGCACTTAATTAAAAGAGGAACTCCAACTTTTTTGTCTTTAAAATAAATCCAGTCCATTCAAACTTATTTGCAAATAAGGAAAATCCTTTTATATATACCAAAATTACCCCCAATTCATTGAAACCCAATTCAACTCCAATTTCATGATTTACATCCCAATTTAGCCCAATTTCATCAATTAACCAATTTTAACCCTCATTTCAATTTTGACCCGTGACCACCGGAGACCGCCGGTCGCCACCGTTGATTTTTTTTTTTTTTTTTTATAATTTTGTTTTTTCTTAAAAAAAATATTTTAATTAATATTACCGTCTTGGCTGCTAAATAACTGTCTTCGGCAGTTATGTAACTGTCGGAGACAGTAATTTAACTGTTAATTGATTTTTTTTTCTTCAAAAATATTTTAATTAATATTAAAGTATTCGTTGCTAAATTACTGTCTCCAGCAGTTATTTAACTGTCGGAGACAGTAATTTAACTGTTAATTGACTTTTTTATTCTTAAAAAAATATTTTTAATTAATAATATTGTATTCGTTGCTAAATCACTGTCTCCAGCAATTATTTAACCGTCGGAGACAGTAATTTAACTGTTAATTGACCTTTTTATTCTTAAAAAAATATATTTAATTAATATTACTGTATTCGTTGCTAAATTACTGTCTCCAGCAGTTATTTAACTGTCGGAGACAGTAATTTAACTGTTAATTGACTTTTTTATTCTTAAAAAAATATTTTTAATTAATAATACTGTATTCGTTGCTAAATTATTGTCTCCAACAATTATTTAACTGTCGGAGATAGTAATTTGACTGACCGGAAAAAAATTTCAGGAAAAAAAGAGTTTTCAAAAAAAAAAAAAAGGCAACGCCGGAATCTGGCCGGAAAAAAAAAACATTTCAGAAAAAAAAATTGGGGGTTAATGTGATATATTTGTTTAAATCTGGGGTCAATGTGTAATATTAAGGAAGTTATAGCATAATGGGTGGAATTGATAAGAATTATATTATGGAGGGTATTTTAGACTAAAGACATGGGGATGAGTTTAATTGAGAGACTATTTTTTTGTGGACCAAAATGCATTTAAGTCCCATATGATGGGCCTTTTTGTCATTCGCATTTAAGTTAAATGTATCTATAAAATACGAAGAATATAAAAAATCATTAAATTAACTAGTAATTCACCCGTGCTATGCACGAAGATTAATTCTAAATACAATTTTTTAATGACTAAAACACACCCGTGAGATAAATCAAACACCTTTTAAAATAAAAAAAGACGTTAATGCGATGCATAAGGGTAATATAAAAAATGAAAAATATGTTTTAGATAAAATAATCGAATGAAAACTTTGAATAGTTGATCTATAATATGATATGATCTAATTTTTTTAAAAACAATAGCAATTCCATTTGATTTAAGTAACGATATAAAAAAAATAATAAAAGAAAATATAAAATGCAAAAATTGTGATGTAAAAAATAGGATATATTATCTGACCCAAATGGTACTACTATCTCATCCAATACACTTGGATCCTTAACAGAAACTTAATTATTAAAGTAGTGTTTCACAGTATATACTAATACTAATACTAATGCTAATGCTAATAATTATGCTAATACTACTAATACTAATACTAATACTAATACTAAAACTAATATTGATACTAATACTAACAATAATACTAACAATAATATTAACGAATTACTAACACTAATACTATTACCAATAATAATACTAACACATTACTAACACTACTACTAATACTAATACACATACTTATACACATACTAATAATGATACTAATACTAATACCAATACCAATATCAATACTAATACTAATATTAATACTAATGTTAACAATAACACTAACACTAATACTAACACTAATACTAACACTAATACTAATACTAATACTAATACTAATACTAATACTAATACTAATACTAATACTAATACTAATACTAATAATAATAATAATAATAATAATAATAATAATAATAATAATAATAATAATAATAATAATAATAATAATAATAATTATTATTATTATTATTATTATAATTATTATTATACTAATGCAAATACTGATACATATACTCATATTAACACATATACTAATGATATAAATACTAATTGTAATGATACTCATACCGCCACTCATGCAATGCACATGCATTAAAACTAACCTCACCATACATGCAATGCACATGCATTAAATCGTAAAAATGATAGAATAATCTCAAATCGTGATTAAGGGATAAGATTTTATACTTGAAGTGTACATGATAATTAAGTAAATTACATGTTGATAAGAAAATAATCATTTAATATACATCGATCGTTAAACTTTTAGCCAAACCAAAAATGATAACCAAATCCGACATTTCGAATGAATAAAGAAATTTGATAAGTGTCCATATTAGATTATTAGTTAATCATTAACAAATACAAATATGGAACAAATAAACACAATAATATATTTAAATAATAATTGACGAAAAATATTATATTTTTTGAAATCATGTCCAAACTTTACGATAATTGATTATTCATAACCGAAAATTTTATATAATAATAGAGTTGGAAACTTATACAAAATTGCATGTTTACGATGCATCTTGCATCGCCAAAGGAGAAATTTGCATACGACATAAAATGTTTAAATTACAATGCTTGATATAAGTATAAACGTTTGAAATTACCAAAATCCGACCTATGTGAAAAACACACTACAAAGCTCAATATAATGCATAAATATTTTGAATCACAGTTTGTCTACCACACTTTTCAATTGAATAATCTTCTTGTCAAGATATAGCATTGTCGATGTAAACCAACTCATTGTCGAGTTATTAATGATTAGCTTTGTGGTATATTACACACCTTGTCGAGATTCTGAAAAACAAAAGAAGAAATGGAAAAAGAATAACAAAGATTAACAATAAAAAATGAACATCAACAATAATAAAAATAATATAACAATGAAGAAAAAATATCAATAATAACATAAGAATAAAAATAATAACTAATCACAATAAATAACAATAAAAATAATAACGGAATATTATGATATTTACAAACCACAATAGTAGGGATGGCAATGGGGCGGGTTTTGCGATCTCCATCCCTGTCCCGCTTTGGAAACTCCCATCCCCGTCAAGGGTATTAAAGGAATCCCCATACCCGCCCCCTAAAATCCCCACGGGTATCGGGGCGGGTAAAAATCCCCATCCAATTTTTTTCCTTTTTTTTTCAATAAATAAATATGCAATCTACTTATAATTTAAAGGCTTATTTCAATAAATAAACTAATATTTAATTATAATACTAATATTTAATTATATAATCGAAACCTAAAAATC